AGTGGAAACTTCGGTGATTTCTCCTTCTCGGGTCGCTTCCCACGCTCTGTGTTAGAGTACAGAATTTTCTGGAATAATCACGTAATCTTTCTTCTTGAAGGAGAAAAGATTGCGTGATGTGCCTTAAAACAATGTCTGCGTAGTGGGTGTCCAACAACGCCACTAAGACGCTGAGCACACTGAGTGACAAAACACTTGAGGCACCTCGATTTTATTTTCTCATCACATCGCGTATCAGACGCCTCGAATATTCATCTGCTTGATTACTGGCCATTACTGGCGGAAGTTGTACAGTGCTGTTTAAAATTAAGACAAGATGTTTTGACGTGTTTTTGGGTTGTCAATCAAGCATAACAAGCGTGCCAAAAGTGCCTAGCACGTAGTGTTCACTTCAGCGAAAAGGTCACAAATCAAAGAAGTGTTGTGTCACATTCCCGGAGGTTCAGAGTAGAATTCGCTGAGGCGTTCGTGAATACGGCCGACCATATTAGTAGACCTTCACGAAGAAAGTTGCTACTTCGTACACAATGAAATTGTGATTGAATACTGATTTACGACTTCAAGTAAGTAACAGTGGTAAGTGTATTGTTTAATTTAATTGCTTTAGGTGCATGCAGATCGGAGTAGTGTGAAGCAAGCTGGAAAAATTGCCCGTGTGTCGCTTAAACAATAAACTCAAGGCGAAGCTAATACTTCTTGAGGCTGGCAGATCTCGGCGCGAATCAGTAATTTTAACTTGAAGAATTTTACTGTGTCGCGATAANCCTCGATTTTATTTTCTCATCACATCGCGTATTAGACGCCTCGAATATTCATCTGCTTGATTACTGGCCATTACTGGCGGAAGTTGTACAGTGCTGTCTAAAATTAAGACAAGATGTTTTAACGTGTTTTTGGGTTGTCAATCAAACATAACAAGCGTGCCAGAGTAGAATTTGCTGAGGCGCTCGTGAATACAGCCGACCGTATTAGTAGACCTTCACAATGAAAGTTGGTACTTCGTGCACAATGAAATCGTGATTGAATACTGATTTACGACTTCAAGTAAGTAACAGTGGTAAGTGTATTGTTTAATTTAATTGCTTTAGGTGTATGCAGATCTAAGTAGTGTGAAGCAAGCTGGAAAAATTGCCCGTGTGTCGCTTAAACAATAAACTCAAGGCGAAGCTAGTAGTTCTTGAGGCCGGCAGATCTCGGCGCGAACCAGTAATTTTAACTTGAAGAATTTTACTGTGTCGCGATAAAGCTGTCATCATTTTAGGCCAGCCAGCCGTTTTGACTTATATGACAATCGAATGCAAATGTTCAGTGTACCGTCAAATTTGCGAATTAATGGTTTAACGTGCTATGTTGACAAATCTCTCACAAATCGAAAGATATTGTTTGCCGAGATAAGCGGGCTAGATTTAATTCATTAAGAAGGAAAACATAGTTTGACTGTTTAAAAAACACCATGCTTCACTAAAACTGTTCAGAAATCAAAGCCCTCGGCATTATTCTCAAGTTCTGTCACAAAAATTATCAATACAAAGGAAGAGGCAAGGGGGA